ATTTAATTTATTTTTAATTTTTTTCGTCGCGCTGCTGATGACGTCACGTACGCGCTTTCGTTCGGGTGCGCTTTATTCTACCGTGGTTTTGTGGTGGAACCTTTTGAGTAAATATTGTCAAATAACATTGGGTTGTTAATACCAGAATATACTAGAAATACAGAATCAAAAATAGTTTTCAGGGAAGACCTAGAGAAATGTAATCATATATGTTACATAAGATACTGCTGAAAGCAACAGGAAATTAAAATCTATTGGGAGATTATGATCCTGCACTTTATAGTTATAAGCAGTATTTTTTATAATGAAAATTTTTACACTTTAGTTATTTTCATGATTGAAATAACTTCAGAAATGTACAGTGCCCACAATTGATATTCGATGCATAAAAGATAATTTTATAGTATCAACCATTTAAAAAAAGTCATTCTAGCTGTAGATTCTACAGAAAAGCATTTCAGATTAGATTAGAGACAATGGTTTACTGATTAAGTGAGACAGTGCCACGATCAGAAATTCTTGGTCTGCAACCTATATATCTATCTAGGAGTTAATACCGTTGAAATCCATGATGATTTTGAATCAATGTTATTGCAATGCGTTAGCCTTTCCAGACAGACCAGACAGGAATCATGACCAGATGAGCAAACTCTATTTTTATTTTAAAGCTTCATTAACAGAAGCTTGAAAGACTGATAGCGCAAATTCCCCAATCACTCTTTTATAGCCTGAGAAGTTAGGGAGGTTTATTTCCGAGATTTCTCCGCCTGTTATGCAGTATGCAGCCCATGCCATCTCTTAATTTATCATTCCTAAAGCAGCATCTCTTCCCCCATCTTCCAAGGTCATTCCCACATACCATTACACAGGGTTAGATATTCAAATTCAATGTGTTCACTAACTTGGTTGCTAGTGAATTCCTCTTCCAGTATTACCTTTGAGTGTTAACACTCTCCAATAGAGGCAGAGAAATAAGTAATCCCTCATCTCTCCTAATTTTACTAGAGATGCAATCTAGCTCTACACAAATTGTTTCTATGTGAGCTGTAATCCTATAGCATTAGGTTCCAGCTAGCATGGAAGTGATTGTATAGCAATGTAAACTCTCTGCTCTGTAAATTAAGGTGACCAGACATAACGCTTTTGGCGGGACACCCCCGCTTTTTGATGCATTTTCCCGCGTCCCGCCCGCTTTTTTAAAAGGCA